GGAGCCCGATGCGGGGCTCGATCCCAGGACCCTGGGATCATGACCTGAGCCGAAGGCAGACGCTTAACGACTGAGCCACCCAGGCGCCCCTTACAGACTTAATCTTAATGGATCCCCCCCCCGCCACTTTTTCCCCCCTCACCCATGAATTCTGATCACTCTGTGTTTTTGGCCTTGTCTTCTATAAAATGTACCATTTTCACTCACAGCTTAAGACAGCTTTGATGTTCTTAGTATGACATACTATATGTAATGTTAGCTGTTTAAAGCTGGAGATCAGATTGTGCATAATAACATATGTAGTTTGGATTATGTAAACACTACAGAAGAAGGGGAGACAGGCCCCTTCTGTGTACAAATTTCAGATTGCTAGCTGTATGTCTGTTTAGAATGTTAAACACTCCTAACTAGGCAGTGATGAAGTTACTTCTTTGGTGACTGACTTCTGGAACTATAAAGACAAAAATTTTTCAACTAAAAATAATTTAAAGATAATGCCGATAACGAACATACTTACTTTATGTGATTTTCTACTTGCTACTTTGGAAGCTTTGAGGATAGAAGGGGAAAAATGAATTTCATTGTCTTCAGAGTCCAGTTTAACTAAGCAATTTCATCAAAAGCTTGGAGAATATAGCTTAAAGGAGCCAAAGACAGAAGAATGTGATACAAATTATAAATTTCATCCACTATACATTTCACCCATTATAAAGAGGTCTGAGACAGGGAATTGTACCAGTGTTTCCCTAGGATTGTTTCTTTTATATCTTAATATTTCAGATTAGACTACTGCGGAGTTTTTTTTCCCTTTGTTTCTGTCATTCTTTTATTTTTAAGGTTGCTGTCTGCCTTTTCATCTGTTGTTGAAAGATTGGTGCATTTCCAGAGAAATTAAATAAAACATATCATCATATTTTTCAGCAATGAGACATTTCAGAGTGAAGAAATAGGTCGATACTTTTCAGTTTAATAAGTTTATGTTTTATTGTAAATATTCATATCCTGCTTTGTTTGAGGAAGACTTCTGGCTGCTGATATGTTTACTGCTCAAATATCAGCACAATAATAATCAGGCCTTTGAAACTATGGGTGAAAAATCCAGCGAATTTCAGTCGTTTTTCATTTATGTAGGAAGATTGTGTGGCATTTTGCTTCCTGTCCCTTTTCGTAAGAACTCTAAATATGGACACCCCTCTCTGGGGCTACCTTTATATTGGGAAGCTCTGCATGAGGTTGAAATTTTTATGGGGAACATGTTTAAAACAGTTAAAGGAGGGTTTGCCACAGCAAGGTTAGGGGTTGCCAATAAATCCATTTATAGCAACTTCTGTATTCCCAGCTCCAGACACACCATTGGGGTGACCCGTGCACAATTTCCCAGGCCACACAAGGCAGCAGCAGTCCTAGTTGCTCTTTCTGTGACCACGGCTGGTCCAAAAGGCTTCCGGTGTGGAGTGGGCTGAGCTCTCCCCTGGCTTGAATCGACTGCCTGGGATTCCTGCGGGGTGCTGGGGAACGCAGGACTCCAGAATCCATAGGCCCTATCCTGGCTTTCGCTCTGCTGGGAAATAAAAAAACATTTTGGGAACTCAGGAATTTAATTTACTGCTACCAACTGCAACAATAACAACATCTTTGTCTCTCTCCCCTCCCCATACCTCCCTCCTCCCACCGACAGAAACACGCCCTCCGTGGGTGTAGCATAGACAACACACGATCAGCACCGAGCGGTAGGATGAGGCTGCAGAACTGGGCCCTGGGGGATCCCCGCCGACCCCCCCCCCCCCCCCGGGCAATCACCAGTTCCTGAACGTCCCTATTTCGCTTTTGGAAAGAAAAAAGACAGCAGGGGAGATGCCTCTTACACCTTCCATCTCCCTTAGCTCATTCTTGCCCCAGAAAGTGAGTGGTCGAGTGTGTATGTGTATGTTGAAGGAGAGAAAATTCAAGAAAGCCACAAAATTCACCATCAAGCATCCACCAAAACTTCAGCTTAGTTAATTGCTCCCGTATGTCTTCTTCGGCTGTTTTCCCAAAACGCGGCAAGGAGAGGACGCCGTGTCACTACACTGATTCTAAAGAGGTTGAAAAACTACCACTCATCTAATCCAGGCCCAGAGGGGCCCAGGCGCAGCCTCAGGAGATTAGCCTGGGGACCCGGCCCGGAGAGGTGGGGCGGGGAGGCGCTGCGCCCGCGCCCGGCGGAAAGTTCGCGCGCTGCGCCCCAGCGGGTCCCCGCAGACGCCGCAGCCCGGGGCGGGGAGGGGCGCGGGAGGCGCGGCCCGGGCGGGCGCGCGAGAGGAAGGTGCCTTCGGGAACACGCGCAAGGGCGGGGATTCGCGCTGCCAATGAGGCCCGGGTGTGGGCCGTGCGAGGCGGGGGGACGGGCCGTAGCGCTGCCTTCGCTGTGGCAGCTGCGGGAGCAGTGGCCGCGTCGGGAGCAGTGGCCGCGTCGGGAGCCGGAGGAGAGGCAGCTGCGGACCGTCGAGCTGGCCGCGCCCCGAGGCCTGGCCCTGGGGTGGGGAACCGCGCCGCGGAGTTGGAAACTTTCCCGGCAGGTAACTTCCGCCGCCCTGGCGCCGCCGCCGGCCTCCCTGTGTCCCGGGAAGGGCCAGCTGCCGCGGTGCTGAGGGGAGGAGAGGGTCCCGCGGAGGAGGAGAGGGAGATGGGGAGAGTGGAAAGGCATGTGGGAAAGTTTCTGGAGCCTGCTTCCCTTCCCCCCCCGCCCCCCTGCCCTCGCTGGGCACACCCGGGAGCTTTCCGGGGATAGGCTTGGACATGTTGGGCGCCCGGGCCTTGGTCCTGCCGGCTCTGGAGAGTCGGCGCCTTCCCTTCGCGGTCCTCTCCGCGCGGGACCGAGTCGACCCCAGCAGAACTGGGGTGCGGGGGCACCGGCGACGCGCGGCAGCACGCTCCTGTTTCGGGACCACCCCCGCCCGGCGCGCCTCCCTCGCCCCCTTTCCCGCCTCCTCTGTAGCTCGCGGGCTTGGCAAGGGCTTGGGCTGCGCCTGGTACCTGGGGCAGGGGAAGCGGAGGAGAAGCGCGCCAGGCACCGCGGGGTCCAGGACGCCCCCGGAGTGTAGGGGAGCTCGGGTCGCGAAGTTGCCGGTTGAACTTAAGCCGGAGGGCGGAGTGGGGGTCTGGAATGAAGGTCTATTGCTTCCCTTCCAAAACACAGCGATTAGCATATCCGTGTTCTTTTTTGGGGGGGGGGGAGGGTAGGATTAGACATTGAGGGGGAGCTGGGAAAGACGATGATTGTATCAAGATTGTGAATTCCCCTGCTCTTGGATAGTGGAGAGTGGTCACTTTTGGGGGGCCTTATGTCTCACGTCTTACTGGAAGACTTTGGGGTGCGGGCGCTCAGCACTGGGGGTTTGGGGGGCTCCCCGCTTTGGCGCGGCAGCTTTCCGGAACGGCTGGCGAGGAAGGAAGCCCTAAGCATTGTGTGGCGTATTTGCAGACAGAAAGGTCTCGGGATCGGCAGTCTCAAAACTTACTTGACTTATTGTGTAAGGCTTCGGGAAGAAATGCGGCGGTGCCCAGGTAGAAATACCGCGCCGCGGCCAGGGGTTCAGAGGACGCTGGGCTCGGCCACAGTCTTCCCCTCCAGCCCAGTTTTGGCAGCCCCGGATCACTGTGCCTCTGGTGATGAGACTCGTATCGGTAGCGCTGTCCCTGCTGGAGTCAGCTAGGGGAGGGTAGGAGGGCACCTTCATCTTGAACTTGACCCTAGGAGCAGCGCCGTTTGGGCGGGTTACATGGTAAAGGCAAGCTGAATCTAACCGTGGGATGGGCCTCGAACTGTGGCACGGAAAGGAAGTGCCTGGTTCAGAATCTTTGAGAAAGGGTTTAGGACTGCTGAGGTCACCAACTCTGGAAATGCCAGGCCACCAGACTGCAGAAGTTAATAATGTGTTTGGAGGGGGTGGGGATGGGAGAGGAAGGGAGAAATCTGGTTACTTGGTACAGAGAGTTGGTATTCCTCTATAGTAGAAATGAGAGGAGTGCGCATCTCTACTTTCACCTAATCCGTTACCCTACTCCACCCGCCCCCCCCTTTCCTGGGTCATCTTTATTCCTGCCAGGCTGGCACTCCTGGGATGGGGGAGGGGAAGGAGAAGCAGCAGTTGTGAAGCTCCTCTGGCCAGCTTGGAGATATTTTAGATCTGCTACTAGGAAGATTCCTGGTTTTTAACAGCTGTTTCTTGATTGCTGGGAATGAGAGAATTTATGAGTGACTGATGGTCATTATAGTAGTAGTCTGAATGTTTTACTCATCTAATCTACTTAAAGATCTCACGAGGGACCTTCCTGAGAATATGCCAGTTTCTGCAGAGTTTGTCAGCCAGAATGTTTGGTGGGTGTCAGTCAGAACTCGTGGTAAATATATCCTGGTGTATTGAGATGAAAAGTATGCAGGAATAAAGGAAATATGGTATCTGACATCCTTCAGGACTTCCTCCTAGCGTTGCTCCTGTTACCTGCCAAGTGAACTTGGTCCAGGCTTCCGGACTGTTGTGATTTGACAATAAGGGATGGGAAATAGTGTCATCCATTTTAGAGGAGGCAGGAAAGTCCAGAAATAAATGTAAGGTTACTTTTTCATGACCCTGTCTTTCAGCTGTGATGCCACAAACTTAACTTTTGCTGGGACTTGGAAGCAGTGTTTTTCTGCTTTCCTGGTTTAACCACCAGAATGCCCAAATTATCATAATTTATGTCCATGGTGGAACTAAAGCATAACTGATTCAGAGTCAGCCCTTTTCAGCTTCCCATAAGAGCCTGTAGAAAAAAACCCAACATTTTGTCTCTTTCACCACACACAATTTATTTGGTGCCATACTGGGTTTTTGATACTGGGTGACTGAGGGCACAATTTTGAAGACAATGAAAATGTCTTGATTAAACTGTCCATTTTTAGGCAATATCCCCTTCAGAGTTGCTGATTAATTCTTTATCTCCCAGGAAACGGTAAAACCAGTATCCCTGGGCTGATAAAACTACAATCCATATTATAATGATGCCTGCCAGCATAGCTAGAGGTTAATGTTATGTCAATGTTTCTTTTAGACATTTCTAACCCAATTGTAAAGGTTTTGTCTAGGTTGGGTTGAAAGTGGGCTGTGAGCCTCACAGTCAGAGAAGTGGCTTTATTTTTATCTTTCTGATGAAAAGTTTAGCTTGTTACAGAAGTAAAGTTTACAAAGGCAAAATGAGGCAGAGGATGTGTGTGTGTGTGTGTATGTGTGTGTGTGCACTCATATTGCTGGGGAGGGATTTTAGTCTCTAGGATAACTTTGTTTGACTGTCTTTTAAATGTGTCTTTCAGTGGTGGAAAATTAGAACCTCCTCCCAGCCAAGGCTCTTACACCTTTCCGGGCCTTGGTTTTCTCATCATTTTCATCTCTAAGATGAAATTATCTTTCAGTGCTAAACTTCTCTAAGAGGTAGAGAAATGTGGGAATTCTGTAACCATGCTGTACTATTAGCAGGGTGCTTTGGGGTTTACAAAGGGCTTTACCTACATATTTTAAACTGAGGCTGAGCCTGTGAGATCAGTTTACTGGGTGTCATCTATAAATGGTGGAGTTGAACTTGAACCTACATCCTCTCATTCTCCCCACTCCCACCCCCCTTTATTTATGGAGTCACCTGAGAATTGGCTAAAACTTGACATACAGACTAAAGTTAATATTTGTGGCAATTTCTCATAGTATTTCATTTATGGGTTATTCTGGTTTCAGAACCCCAGGGTTAACATCTATGCTTTGATGTCAGAGATTAAAAACAGATCAGTAATAATGGTAGTAAAACTTTCTCCCCAAGAGAGCTTCAGAAATTCACATACCTCAAACTAATCATTTGTTTATTTTCAACTTCTCTTTTATTAAGTAGGCTTCAGGGTCTAGTGTGATTTATAATACAGACTAGTAACCCAGATAGCATTCTTAAGGAAATCACTTCTCAAGTCTGTGTCTTTGTTTTTTTAATTTAATTTTATTATGTTATGTTAATCAGCATACATACATCATTGGTTTTTGATGTAGTGTTCCATGATTCACTGTTTGCATATAACACCCAGTGTTCCATTCAGTACGTGCCCTCTTTAATACCCATCACTAGGCTAACCCATCCCCCCACCCCCCTCCCCTCTAGGCCCTCAGTTTGTTTTTCAGAGTCCAT